GCCTCGGAGCAGCACCCCTGCGGGACCCGCTCCTTTAATGAAAACGAGCGTGGTGCCTTCTGTTGGAGTCGGGTTGTGGCGTGGAATACAGCCCGGTGTCCAGATCTGACACTTGTATCTGTATTATCATTGGGGGAAAAAAGTATTTCTCTCGTAAAGGCAGCCGTTTTGGTTATTATTCTAGTCTGCAACATCCATCTCTTTTCATCTTCCTGCAGGCATGTAAGAACTAGTATGACTGTAGGTATTGCGGCTGAAGTAAGCTTACGTGTAATGGAGAAATTGCATTAGATATTGAAACAAAACAGTACGAAGCCAACCTTTAATTTGTGAACTATAAAATGTGTCATTTGTTTGAAAGCTCAAATATCTAATTTCTTTTTAGTTTTAGAATGGGGAATAGTCTGCCTACTTCTGTAGGATTGTCTAATGATGCTGCTGTGAATCAAATACAGGTAACATTATTTACGCAATTCTTACTTATTTTCAGCATTTCTAAAATGCGTAATTACTTAAAAGCTCTTCTGATTTACGCAAAGAAATTCTGTAAGTAGTTCTGCATGTTGAACCTGATTCCTGTGTTTCGTAAGTAATGCTGGCAGCATTGTTTACCCACAGCCCTGGAAACTGATCTTCCTAGGCTGCGTCCGTTTTACGTTTTTTCAGACCTTTACTCAAATTCGGTACTGCTATCATTACTGGGGATTAAACTTTGTAAAACGACTGATATCAAGTAAAGTAAATATTTAAAGAGTAAGTTGTTTTTTAAAGGAAGTTTACTGATACCAAATGACAGCCTGAAATCTCCTTGAATTTACAGTAAAGTAATAGGGGTGTTTCTTTCTCCCACTCGGAACCGTTTTTGTCACTCTGCTTGCCACCGGCACATCCTGTTTGCCTTACAGGCAGGGAAAGCTGTACTAAATAATTCAAGGAGATGCAGCTTGTTTGGCAGACTGTAGGAGGTCTGTGACTGCAGAGCAAAAGAGGGTTCAGGGTTGGCACCATTGCATGGCAGTCACACCACATGCTCCGCAATCATCCTGCTCAGTTTTGGAGTCAAGTGCAGGTCATACAGAGCTTCACAGGTGCCAGCAGTGCTTCTGGCAGAGATCGTTAATGCCAACTCCCCTCTATTTCTCTGCTCCCACAAGAAGATCATAGTGTTCCTGAAAGTTAGATCCCGCTAAGTTTTAACTGATTCCAGGCATTCTACTCAAAGAATAGAGCATACCTTTTACTGAAAAGCTTAAGTGGAGCAGAAGTCACTTTATCTCCCATGTAGTTCTGCACACTGCTGAAGTTGCGCCTCATTGCCTACTGCACTTGTGCGCAGATGTTCTTTGGGATCTGGCCAAGTGCAACTGCACTTTTTCAGGTCAAGAGTGTGACTTTCTTGGAAGTCAGGTAGGAAACAATTTTTTTTCTGATGTGAAAGTATGGGATGCATCCCTAAAGGAGGTGCTAGGCCACCATAGAGGTCTTCAGAACAAATGTAGGTGGATATGTTTTGCACCCACCGTACAGGTGATACCTTCTTGACAGATGCTTTGATAGAAGTCACTGTTCTGCTCCTTGTTTTTTAAAAAAAGTAGTTCACTCCTCGCCTTAAGATTCTTGTGGCTCTAGATTAGAGGTAGGGAAGATTTAGAAGCTAAACTAGCTTTTCACTTTACCTTAAGCAACTGAAAATAAAGCAGTGTTTTTGGAAGATTCTTCAGAATTAGCCAGCCACCGCTGTAGCACGGCTGGGAACGCCTCAGTTGTTCCTGTTAAAAATACCTCAGAAAGCCTTTACAGAGAGTAATTTTACTGTATTTGTTACCATAATAGCAGATTTTTAACTTCTGTATTTGTTTTCATGACTGTTCGATACTGTTAGATACATTGACTTAAAAACAAAGCACGCTGACTTGAACATTCTTTTGAACATATAGGAGATTATTTCAGGCAACTGTGTGGTGATTTTCTCTAAAACAACATGCTTCTACTGCAAAATGGCAAAAAAACTTTTTGAGGGTATGAATGTAAATTATACAGCTGTAGAACTGGACGTGAATGCAAATGGAAGTCAGTTCCAAGACATTCTTGAACAGATGACTGGTGGCAGAACAGTAAGTATATTTTCTTAGATGTAACAAGTAAAGTAAGAACTTAGACTACACACGTTCCTCATGGGTTATGACCATATCAAGTTCTTCATTTTTTTGAGATAAATAAACTTGTCTTTAATTTAGGAGCTTGTATCCCAAAGTACTGCAGAAGGGTTCTGTACTGTCTTTTCCTCTTGAGACCCTCTGGCTATCCCTCTGAGGTGATCTTTCCCATACTGCCACTAAGATATTTGAAGTCTCAAAGTCAGTTTTTATTTGTGTAGGTATATTTAATCCATTGTGTTTAACACTTACCTTGTAATTTCTTAATTTTATATAGTCTCACTTGACTCAATTATTTTAATTTATTACAACCTCCCATACGGTGACTTTATCCCACTTTTGAGGGGCACATGAACAGCTTCCCATTTCTGTAAGTATTATGGAAACGTACGAGTCGTACAGTAATACTGAATATGCATAAGTGAGGACATAACTATTGTGTGTATACTAGAGTCCACGTGGGCTTGCTTAGATTTTTATCTTTTTTCCAAGAAGTAACTAAGGCAATTTTCATTTTCTTGATAGGTCCCAAGAGTGTTTGTCAATGGGACTTTTCTTGGAGGTGCAACAGATACTCAAAGGCTTCATGAGGAAGGCAAACTGCTTCCGTTAGTTCATCAATGTCAGGTGAAAAGAAAATCCTGAACAGCCATCTAGCTTAGTTTAGTCTTCCTTTGTATAAACAGAATTTCAGACAAGTTAGAAGATCGCAAAGATACACTGCATCAGCTGGACTCAACAACTTCAAGCCATGGATTTCTGAATTATAGATCATTCTCTGACACAGAGTTTATGGACTTGGCAAATTACTTGGTGACCTTGCCTCAGCTCTACCACAACCAAAACGGCGATTAAAAACATTTTGTAACTCTTGGGGCTCCAAGTGTGAGATAGTGATGTCATTTTATTGCTATTATATCCTGATACTATACTTTGGAGAAGTATAGACTGTACAAGAAGAATCCTGTATTTTTTTTTTGCTGCAAAGCTTGCTAGCTTTGTTCCGACAGTTAAAATAAATGGTCCGTTTAATTTAATGGTTCCTTTAAATTTAATTCTTCTCTGAATGTCAGGTTGTAATCATGAAGAAAGTATGAAGCAAAACAAGTTTGTAGTGATATTGCTGTATGCATGTCTGCCTCTCTTACATGTCAGTGTCTGATCACCTAGCTACCAAATTGTATGGGAATAAAGATTCTTGCAGCTTTAGAGGGTAGGTAATTGCTTTCATCTTTACTCTACACTATGAAGTATCAGTCTATACAGTGTCGCATTCAGAAATATCCTTCTAGGGGAGCCAGACAGCTCCCTGTCACTAAACTGTGCAGCTACAAACTACATTACGATCAATGCAACACTATTATGAAACTTAAGACCAAGTAAAATGGGTCTAATATGCATAGAGTTTATTTAGTACTTAATTTCTACAGTCAGAATGCAGTTTACTAGCGATTTTAACTTGCAGTTAAATGTCTAAAAGAAATGTCTAAAATTCAATAGTTTCAGTACAATGTACATCCGAAGCCAGACCAGGCAATGCCAAGACTCTTGGTTATTTCAAGAAAGTTCATATGCAAGTAGAAAATTATATCCCATTCTTGAGTAAAAGGGACCATCACACTACTAAAGATGCACAGTTTAGAATAAAAACGTTAGTCAATCAATTTTTACTCACTTCTTGTGAATAAGACTCCTGTTATTTCTGTTGCTTTCAGCACTGCATGCACCTAAACTACTTTTTTCCCCTCAAGGGAAAAAAGTGTCACATTTATCTTCAACTCCAGATAACTAGGACTGTAAGAGTATCATGTAAATTTGACAGCTTCATTTTAGTGATGCGGGTTTGAAATAAGTTTAAACTGCATCATTGTAGAAAGTCTTTAGTATACAGTTGCCTGCACTGTGCATCTTTAACGTGTAATGAGCTATTTAAACACTGACCTCGTTATATTTTTATCATTGCTGTTTACTGTATTTTGCTAGTTTCATCACTGCCTTATTAAAATTTTGTTTACAAGGACACACTCATCAAGGTAAACACACAAAAATGTGTATCTCTCCCTAAATTTACACTTAATAAAGCAATTTATTTTGCACATACAGTGGTAACCAAGTATTCTTTTTCTCTGTGTTGAATTCTTCGGCCAGTTGTGTTTTCTCAGAAGTTTAACAATAATTTTGCACCTGAAAGCTGGTAAATCCGTCATGTAAAAATAATAGTATGCAAAGGAATTTTTCAGAGACCTTTTCATTTTGTTCCCTGTTAAAAAAAAAAAGTTCCAAAACAGTAGTCTAAAATAACCCTTTGAGTTTTAAGTTTCAGAAGGCCCAGGGCATTGTCACTTAAGGCAATATTCTATTCCAACTGAGAAAACATGCTGTATGCCTGCAGATCCAAGTGAGTGCCCGTTCATTAAAGAAGATATGTCTTAAGGCACTCAAAGGGTTAATTATGTTTCTTTTTACCCATATTAAGGCTCCCCATCCAAATAGTTTCTCATTAATTTTGTATCATTTCATAGAAAGTAGCAGCAAGACAGTGCCTTCATTACTGGATGGCACAAAGCCATGTTATGTTTAAGTTATGGCAGTTAAAGTGTGGTTCTACTCTAGAGAAAAAAAAAAGGGACTCAAAACCAGTCATTAAAAATTTCCGTATTTTTTGCCTAGCATTGTCTCCAGGACAAAGCTGTTTATCTTACAATAATGCTTGCCCTGGGATCTGAATGTTAAAAATTATCCACTGAAAGATTCTGTGCTTACACTGAAGACATACCTGCTCATCCAGCTTAAATACCACGCTCCTAAGAAGGGTGAGAAGCTGGAAACAAACATCAAGTTACTTAACTAAGCAGACAGAGCTGTGACTGCGCCCATCTGTTGCTTCTTTATACAGAATTATTTTTAAAGAGTAGAACTGCACTTTTATAGGAGAATGTAATAGAAAAGACCTTTTATTTGTAACTAGTTGTGCTTAACTCTAAGAAGCTGGTAACACTGGGAAACAGCTATTTATATTCATTATTTGTTAATGAAGCATTTGTAAAAGTTCTCAACATACCACATACATATATGCAAATATATATATATTTGAACTTAAATTCAGAATGCAGAAATACCTAAAGAAACCAAGCTTTACAGTATCAAAATTATAAATCCAAATGTAAGCACACATATTTAAAGACACCATACTGTCCGCTGAAATTAGCTGATCTTAAATCTTAGCTCTCAGAGCAGCACATACATAATACATTGTCCTAGTGTTTTACCTTTCCCCCCGTAACTCTTACTCAGCAATGTTGTACACTAGACTGTACCACGGTAAGAGGAAATCTCTACCATTCCAGCAATAAAGTCATTAAAACAGCTTGCTTACAGCATATTTGTCCACTGTGAACCACTGCAAATAGCAAAATAAACCTATAAACTGATGGTTTATAAATCTTTAAAAAAAAAAAAGATTAAAAGCACAAGCAAGACAAATGACTCTTTGCTTAGGTTTACTTCTACATCCTATTCTTTGAAGATTTTCTCTAATCAATACTGCAAAGAAGCTGCCCATTTATCCAGAATATTCATTTAAATGTTTCCCTAACTCTGCATGTAACAGCAGCTTGGTAATATTTAACAGAATGGAAGGCTCCAACCTGCAGAAATAATTCTAGAAAAAGCTTTAAATTTGAAAAGCCAATTTTAAGCGGTTACTTTATAAAAATAAAGCCATTCACAGGCAGATATTGGATTTTTGTAAAGTATACTTTTGTCACTGATCTTTACACAAAGTTTTACCAAAAATCTGATAGATACAGCAAATTAAATGCTTTCTAAGAGATTCACATAATCAAAGGAAGGAAAAAATTGATCCAGTTTTTTAAAATTAAGATAAATACTATGACATCAGTTCTGGTGTGAGTTATTTAGCTAAGCTAGCACGCTCAATGACAGCAAGAAGGCAGAAGAACAGGGGCAAAAAAACGAATGGACGAGAGCTTGTACGGGAAAAGAGATTCACGTATAGGCCTGAGGTGACAAGGAGATGGGAAAGGAGGAAAAAGCCAACATTAACACAGAGAAGGAAGGGCAAAGCAAAAAGGTAATATGAGAAACAAAACAAATGGAGCCAATGGAACCAATACTAATGCTTCTGGTATGATGGCTATGAGTTATGGCTGTGATTAAGCAGCACAGCATTTTGCAATGGAAAAAATATTTTCCTAGTGTTTTTACAGACAGAACCATTATTAAAATACATTTCCAAAACTGCTGGTGTATTTTTTATGCCAAGAATATATACTTCATTCAATAGCCTTTTAAAGCCATACCCATTTATGGGTCCCAATTAAACAACAATGAAAAAGAACAACACAACCTCCCTAATGACTCACGTTTAACAAAGAGGTTTAACAGTAGTTTTAAGCAGCAAGATATTTTAGGGCCAGTTATTAGTGGCCCTCACATAGCGGGCACTTAGACTGGCCCTGCTGACTTCAGATCTATACCTGCTTTTAGACTTCTCTTTTTTAAACACATAGGATTGTAAGTAAAGACCCCGTATTTTGCCTGTAATCTAATTCTAGAAGCATCCCAAACTCTCCTCCTCCTTGCTACAGGTCTAAAATTCCCGTCATGAAATTCAATTTCTTGGCAAAATTAGTACTGTGTTTATTCAATTTATTACACAATGCTGATGTATGCATTGCATGATTTTTAAGAAAGAGTGCCTTCTGCCCTCTCCACATTCTTGATTGTATCCCTTCCATGAAGAAACCTGACCTCTGATGTTCATTCGCTACAGCCCTTCATTACAGAAGAATGTTTTACCTCTGCTGTGCTTCCAACCATTACATCCTTTTCTTCTTTCTTACAGCTAAAGTGCCTGAACGTTATAGTCTTAGGCATAATAGTCTAATACTTAAGAATTGTTAAGGGGGTCACAGTGAAGTGGCAGTCAAACTGAAAGCCTATTAATTCTGTTAGATATTGGGAAACCTGCATTCACGCGGTCTACAGTTGCACTCTGCATTTAGACTTTTTTTAAATTAATGTTTTGAATAAAATTAACTATCTTTAAACTTGTCCCTGTTCAATTTTTACTGGTAAACTGCAGTGCACAATTACAGCCCCATTTTTGTTTTGTTAGTCAGTGTTCCTCCAATGCAAACAACACTATTAACTTGAAAGAGTCAGTGTCTCCTCTTCGGTGAAAGGGTTTGGTGAAAGTTATTTATTGTATACTGAACTAATGCTTAAGCTTAATAACTTTGTCTTAGCTCACTTTTTTTTTAAAAAAAAAAAACATTACAGTAATTATTGCCTCTTTACATGTCCAGATATCATTTTGGAAATTATCAGTTCAACATCTAAAGACTAAAATCAGGACAAATTTATGTTATGGCAAATGAGTCATGCTGTCCCCTAAAACTCAGTATATGGGCAGATAAAAAAGATCCAGTCTATGGAAAAGGAATATGCAGCATCATTCTTCTATGCCCCTTACTGCAAGATAATAACAAAAACAGACCGAAAACAGTGGAAACAAAGGTCAACACACTATAAAGTTTCAGCTGTCAGCATTTACTTCAGTTTCCCCTCTCTGAAAATCTTAAAGGAGGAGCAGATGACAACATGATCTCATTGGTGCTAGTTTTACATCGGATAACCAAACCACTTAGAATATTCTATTTCTAACAAGATTTTTTTTAGTACAGAGATATGGTAAATATTGGGAGCATATTATGTACTCCAGCAGGGATGACTATCTTTAACACAGTGCATAGCTATCCAGTGTCAATAGATACAGGGAGCTACATTTTCTCTAAGTTCTACTGAAAAGTTCATCTTCACTTACACTCTAATTCAAGAAATTGTATTTTAAACTGGACTGCTTTCAAAGATGCAACACTACTAAAACCGTTCATTCAATCTGTTAGTAACTAGTCTAATCTTTTACTTGCAGTAAATTTATGCAATTAACTGCACAAAGTTACTTGAAATACCTGTTTAAGTTTTCATTTTATATTTAGTCCAAAATATTGCCTATTACTTCACAAATACTACTCCAAATAAGAAAAAGTACTTGCAAGAGATACTTAGCTATCAGTTATTTTCAACATCTCTAGCTTAGAAGGAAACATCTAATCAGATGTTTGACTATTGTGTAATTTAAAACACATTACTACCAAAAACAACCCCAAAACATCAGTGCATTTACTTGAAATAATTATTAACATGTATTGAGCAAATGAGTTTACTCCCCATATTCATGGTGTTTATTTAGAAAGGAGACTAAAAGTGGTAAGAGATTTTTCATAAGAAATGGCTAATTTTCTTTTTCAAACCCAAAGTGCTATGTCTCAGCTTTTGTAGGAATACCTGTTTTTTCTAGATGTCACCTGACAAGCTGGTGGCAGTCCTGTATTCTTCAAGCATTCTATCAGAGCTGTATCGTAAGAGCAGTGATAATTCAGAAGTAACTACATTCATGTCCACTGAAAGGTAACATTCCTACCATCAGTTCTTTAAGCCATGGTTTTAATGTCAGAAAAGGCTTCCCTCGCTGTTTTGATTTATTAAGGTAGAGTATAAGTATGTAGCAGAATACCTTCAGCAACATGTAACCTCATATTTTAGCACCAAAAGAGATATCCATCCTATAGAAAGCAAACTTTGAATTTATAATCAAGATGTACGAGGCATAATGAAAAGTGTTACAAGTATCAAAAGTATAATATGAACTTGAATTTTACGTTTAAAAGCTTGGGGTTTAGGCAGAAAAATATGGTCTTACATGTCATTTACCACAACTGGGTTCTTTTTATAAATCATAATTATTTTCAAGTTAACATCAAATTCACTGTTTAAAACAGCCAGAATTAGCATAAAAGAAGAGGTTGACATACAAATGTCTTAGGGGAAGTTGTAAAAGCATCACTAAAAACCTTTCTCATCTTCTAAGATTGTGATCTACTATAGAAATCTTTTAACTTCCCCCCTATACACACATACATAAAAACACCCACACAGAATTAAATACATATACACGTGAATTGCTATCAATTCCTGTTCCAAAGTGATGATATTCACTAGCTTTCTCCTTATTTACTCACACTCTTACAATCAGACAAAAAAAAAAATCCAGTTTCTATCACTTCCTAAACAAGATTTTGAGAACAGGAAGGACGCAACTGTACATTTCATAATTTTTTTTAAGAATTGGTCACTATAAACTGGAGGTAGTTTTGAAAAATGTTAGCTTGAATTAATTTACAAAATCAGAAGTAACGTTGATCTACAAAAAGATTTTTAAAAGATGAAATGCTCTCCTGTTAGGAAGATTGTTTCTGTATCATTGAATACATTCTTTTGAAGAAAATGTAGCTTTTTGTTTCCGGTTGTTAGCACTCAGCTTTCAAAAGCAGGCCAAGACACATGCACTTGTTGATCTTCCTCACTGAAAGTGTGCTGATGCTTCCTGAAGTTGTAACATGGACTGAATGTGGCTTCCCAGCCATCTCCAAGGTCTTTTTCTTCTAAAAACAGTTTTTAGAACCTCCTGTAAAGCGTATTAATTCTAAAATAGTGCTTCTGAAACTGCATTGTACAGAAACTGCCCCTCAATTTATCTAAAGAGAATTACACTTTACTCCTGAAAACCCAAATGATAATCTAGATAGAAAAAAGATTAGTGTGAGCTCTTCCACTTTCAGTTTTATCAGTATAAAATTTCACTAGGTAGCTTTTATACTGCATCACAGTCACATGGTCTCATACGTGCCAGAAAATACTTCTTTTGTAGATTTGAAGCGTAACAATGGAAACTGCTGA